GCACTATCCCTGAACCCTAACACTGACTCTAAATCCGACTCGGCTATTCTTATATATACGCGTGGTACCCAATTAATCTATGGTGCTATAACTGCTCATATTTGCATCTGAACTGAAATCCAATCCGCAACCAAAAATGGCTGTAGGCTACTGGCACATATAATGTTTCAGTTTCATACTTCAAATCGCGAGTTTTTCGTAGCTCATCGCAGGGGCGAACTCTGTAATCGTGAATTAAATCGTGATATAATATAAAAATATGGGACCAGCTGCATTTTCAACACTGTATATGTCAGGTTTTCTGATTTATGAGAGGTGATAACTCGATTTGGAACCAGCGCAAACTAGCAAGTTTTCTCAATTTTTCTGAAGGGAGACCCCCCATACCCAGGACCCCCCCACCCTAACTGCCTGTTTTTCACGGCCCTCCTCCTTTGAATCCCTCAACCTGCCACTGAACAACTTACATATCTTGGGAGCATGAGAACAATGAAGCAAAAATGATCCGCGAATTTTTGCATGGATTGCAGAGCATGAGAGTAAGGAAGCCGTAGGGTGTGGAGAGGGAGGGCGGAGGAGCCAGTAAAATATTAAGTCATTCACACTATTTGCGCAGTTCCTGTTTTGTCCCCCTTGTTTAAAAGAAAAAAAAATCCTGGCTATGCCACTGTTTTTGGGTGTTTTTCTGATCATATTATTATGTGATTGAAAATAGGAGATTTGGGGCTATTTTGGAACAACCAGAAATGGTTGCGGACACCCGATTGATGCGGGGTTGTCCGCCAGGACAACCACATTTTTTTTCTTATTTCGAGCACTGTAGGCAAGGAGTGGTCCGCAATGGCACGTGTGCATACATGGCGTTGTGGGCGTATAGTTGAAATTTCGGGTCCGGCTCTTCAATTTACACTGTGCACAGTGAACTGAGTATCTAGTTTAAATCACAACGCTGGATATACCATAAGGTGAAGGTTATACTTAAAGGAAGAATTTTACTCTAGGTTCTAAGGGTTAAAGTTTCAGCTCATTTAGGTTATAATTACGCTAACATAAAAGTTTTTCATTGTTCAATCACCTTAGAAATATTATTAAAAAATGTTTAAAAACTTACGACTACAGTTTGATTACAATGGAACGGTGGCCCACTCCAAAAGGTGCCCGGCACGATCTGATAAGTTTGCGCAATACGCACTTTCGCAGCCAAGGGCTGTACAGCCCGAGGTTGTTTCTATTTTATTCATTTAAAAGCAAAAGGATTGTAATATCTTATAAACGAAATATAGTTTTCAGTTAATAATCATGGATAGAATTTTGCCTAAAATAATCATCGTTTTGGTTAAATAGCATTTAGGTATCAATATAATTGCCCTTTGTGATTAGCCTCCTCGGTCTGTAAACGTGGCAAAATAAAATGTCAAATAACCAACTTTATCGGGTGGCCAGCACCGGTGCGGGGGTGTCGTGGCGCCGTTCAAATTCGTAGCGTTGATGTGTATAATAATTATAACAATTCAATTAGTAATCTGGTAACAAATACGTGTGGTGACAGACGATTTTGTTATACGTTAGTAAGTAGCAGTTGTATGCATATAATCTCTAGGAGCTACTGTTCTTAATACAAAACCAGGGAAGGCAAGAAAAATGCCTTGCAGATGATTATTGTATCGCCGCGAACGAAGTCGCGGGGATACTATGGTTTTCAATGTCTCCCCAGCTCGCCGCCAGGCAGACATTTCCCTTCGCTCTATAACTCGACCGCACTAAATTTCATACAGCGCTAACCAAAACTTGATACTTACACATCTTGGGGAGAATGGTGCGCACGTACCAAAACCAGGGTCACTGTGACTTTTATTCCATGACCTTATACCTTTGACCTTGATCACATTTCCCCTTACGCTCTCATACACGTCGCCGCCTAGATTGACGCTAGCGCTACCTAAAACAGGTCACTACGACCTTTATTTGACCTTTACCTTGACTTGATCTATTTCTTTCCGCTCTATAACTCGGCCCTAATTGACCTAGGCGTACGCAACTTGTATACTTAGCACATCTTGGAGATGTGTGTCGGTACCAAACAGGTCTGTGACCTTTATTTGACAATGACCTTTATTTAGTCCGAGCTAAGCACAAGGAGGTTACCCTGCATAAGGTATGATGACTTCCATCATGCACGTCTCAGAGATGCCAACCACTACGATTTATTCGTATTTTATACGAATTTCTATTCCTTTTGCACCATTACGACCAGTTTGTATCAAAATACGAATTTCACTGTGATCGAAAAAAATATTTTTTTGTCAATTATTGTCATTTTTTGTCAATTTATTGTCATTTTTACCCTCAGAATGCAGGAAATTGCATCTCAGAATCAAAATTTTTTCTGGGGGGCATGCCGGACCCTCCTAGCAAACTCGGGTCACTACGTGACCCTCGAACTACTAATTTGATGGCCAGAAACTACAGATTGCTTCAAATATGTGTTGCATCTCTGACGTCTGCTTAGACAAACGTGGGCACGCACGCATGCAAAGACCTAACACAATTCCAGGACAGAGTAGTTTTGGAAATGGTTGCTACATCGGGATTTATGTTTATGTACTTAAGGCAACAACGAACACACAGCGTGCTAATCCGCAACTGAAAAGCATCTGTTTTGAGTCTTGTCAAAACGTGCAAAATATATTATAACTAATTGTGTGTTTAGTAGAATAGCCACAATAACACGCGGTTGTGAAACAGTCATCCCTGAATTGGTGCTTGCTTACAGGATGGGCCGCTTGGGGAGACTGTTCTGGAGTGCTACAACTGCGGATGCCGGAACGTGTTCTTGCTCGGATTTATCCCCGCGAAGGCCGATTCCGTTGTCGTGCTACTGTGCAGGCAGCCATGTGCAACACAGAGCAGTCTGAAGGACATGAACTGGTAATGGTCTCACCCTGTGCATTATGTAATTATGAGTTGGATGCTTATGCATAATAATGTTAAATTAATGTCATGATAACGGTAATAATTATGTAGTATTGTGGTTTGGCGTGTATTTTTCATTGTTTAATTAAATCGTTAGGGTACTGCACACTGGTGTTGGGTATGATCTAGTGATACTAGTGTATCTTTGTGACGCTGGGGGTCGTTTGTTGTTTACATTGTTCTGTTGTTACAACGTGAATGTTCAAGTTGTGTACAAAGGTATTAACAGTTAAATTAGTCATGGCAGCTTGGCTGCGTATAAAAAATGGTCTTCCACAATGTTTACTGTTTTTCTCTGACAGAATAGCACCTTGGTTAGTGTATTTTTCACACATGTACAGGATGTATGCTAATGAAAGTGTTTTAAGTGGTCAAAGTCTTTAATGGCACGCATTTATCGTGGGGGTTGGTTTTGGCTGAGGTGTTAGAACAAGTGGTAGCCTGTGATAAGATATGAGTTATGAGTACATTATAAAAATACGAGCGGAACCAAATTTAAAGGTCTAACAGACATTGAATGTTTAGTTAAAATATCAACTTGCTGAGAATTTCCAGGAAGTAAAGCCAGTAGGTTATTGCTTACTTTGTATGAGTCACTCTATAACTGTTTTCTCTAGGTATAACGGGGTATAAGTAATAGATATTATCTAAACTCTCTCCAGGCTACCTGCACCCAAATTTACACAGCTGTTAAAGTAAATAGGCATAAGATAACTGTGTTGGACAAGACGAGACTTGATTTTACACCAAGTCTAGTGTTTATTGAATATTTCACAGGGGTCATAACATTGTCTCTAGAAATTTTACAACAAAAATGCACTTTTTCATAGTAGGTTTGTTTACCGGGTAAAATTATTAGGAAGGTGTGTAGATGCTATTTATAGCTGCAAATTCACATGCTGTCTTGCACTAGGGTGTACAGCTAAGAAGACTATACCGGGTAACTGAACAATATTGCATGAATACGTGATAAAATTCTTTTACAAATTTTCCACTGCGTATAGTTGTTTTTGCTTTTGCGTCAACAGATCAGGGGGTGTCCCAGGAAAAGTTGCCGTGTATTAATTTTCGACCCTTGGGTTTGTGTTGTTGTTTTTTGCGCAGGGATCAGAACCAGTGGCAGCCCCTGATTAGTGACCGTAGCTTCCTCTCTTGGCTCGTGAAAATGCCGAGCGAACAGGAGCAGATGAGAGGGCGCCAAATATCCGCGCAGCAGATCACCAAGCTGGAGGAGCTGTGGAAGGTACGCATGCGCTTCACTATAGCCACCGAACATCAACTGTGCGCTCAAAGGGCTGGGTTTTCACCACGCCACCGATAGCAAAAGGTTGCCCTTCCTACTCGACACGGTGCCTGAAAAAGTGAACGATGTCTGAGGCAGTAAAACTTGTACTTGGTTTGCCCGAGTCAGGAGTGTCATTCCCAGATATTCAATGTCTACGTATACCTCCGTGTCCCAGATAAAAAGTGTTAATAACAAGGCAAGTTGCCTCGGTGCTCCCTCTAACTGCAATGGATTGGTGCCATAAAATTTCAGTTTATGCCAAAGATAACTCTTGCCTTGGCCTAAAAAAATATATGGCCCATCTATTTATATATCTCAGGAAAAAGGGATGTCACAGCCTAAGATATTATCAGGAGTAGATAATAGGGAAGGAGTGTGACTTCAATAAACAAGGGAAATTCGTCATTTACTAGCCTTAGAATACCTATGATTTACTATGCGTAACTCAACCAACTTCAGCTCAAATCGTACACAGTACATTCGCCTAGCATCGTGCGAAATCGTTTCCTCGTATACACCCGCAATCAGGAGATACAGACTAAAACATACGACACGATTTTCCATTATGTTGCCAGCAAACTGAATGTGTAAACTGCCTAACTCGAAACAAAAGGCAGCTACTAACGACTTGCGCCCTCGGCGATGCGGTGTGGCTCGCTGAGCTAATCTTTGACCTATTTACAGCTGCCTTTTATTTCAATCTCAATCCGACCTAAGGCCGGCTTAACTCGCCAAAAAACTTTTAAGTTCCAGAAAGAGCAAAAATAGGTTCAATGACTCGTCGCGTTATATCCGAATTCGCGTTAAATTGGCGCGCGTAAAATCAGGGTTTGAGTGTACCTATTTTCCTGATTGAAAATTATGTAGAAATATATTATAAGAAGATAATTTAGTGATGAACGAATATAACTATGTTTGGAATATAAGGGCGTCTTGTGGCTCTTGTCACCTTAGGCTGTATCACTGAAGAGCTTCGTCTTATAGCTTATAAATTACAATTAGAAATTACACAAAGTTTGTTGCTTCTGTGGTACTTATAACATGATGACATGGTGTACTACAGGGTTCGTAGCGGGTCTTCCAAAGTCTTATAAGTACTTATTTTGCTTAATAAAATAAGGGCCCTTATTAGTACTTATTTTTGGTGAAATCTTAGAAAAGTACTTAATAGTCCTTATTTTTTGCTAAAGGACCATTTTTCAAGATTTTCTGTGTTGAATTTCGGCGAAACGGCTTTATATAAATATTATTAGTGTATTTTAATAGTCGGTGATCTATCAGAAATCGCTTAAAAAGTCTTATTTTGGCCTCCAGAAAGAGTCTTATAAGTCCTTATTTCAACATGTGTCTTACTACTATGAACCCTGTACTATATGGGTTAGGATGCATAATTACATGCAAGCGGATGTAGTCGCTTCCTAGGTTAACACGTACAGTGACATACATTAAATTTTTCGCAGGAGAATCCAGAAGCTGTTCTCGAAGACCTTGAGAAGCCCGGAGTTGATGAGGAACCACAGGGTGTCCTGCTCAGGTATTGCAATGTCTGCTAAGGTGTAGGCACCACTGTGTACTATGGGTATTGTGTTTGTTATCATGTGAACAGACACTTCCTTTACAAAACTCTGCACTCATGTTTGTCCATGCTCTGCGGCGAGTCATGCCGTCTTTTCGGATGCGTTGTTGGTTGTTTATCTTTTTTCGAACGAACTGGCCCATACGTTAACGCAAGTTGCGATGTAGGTGCTATCAACTGGCACCCGAGTCATCATGACATTGAGAAAATCGCCGGTGGACGTCACACGTAGTTGTGGTATCTAGAGTAAGCTGTAAATTGTCATACTCCGTTGACCAGATACGAAGACGGATATCAGTATCAGAACATCTTCGGGCCACTTGTGAAGCTGGAGGCGGATTATGACCGGAAACTGAAAGAGTCACAGACTCAGGATAACATCGTCGTGCGTTGGGACGTTGGACTGAACAAGAAGAGAATCGCCTACTTTACTATGGCTAAAACCGATGGAGGTAAGCACGCATGTGTCATGGTGTAGAAGATCTATTTGTATAACGTTGATAGGAGGGCATTTGGGAGTGGGTCATGTTAGTTAGAATGTATAATATTCCATAAACTTTCTGGTTGCATACCCAGACTACTTGTGACTGCATCGTATTTGATATTGTATAGTGAGTAATTATTCTTCTGTGTGACCTCTACTCCTAATCACAGAGTCACAAAGGCTCATGTTGGGTGTGATTTCATATCGTCATCATGACAACCACTGTATGTGTGCGTGCGTGTGCGTGCGTGCGTGCGTGTGCGTGCGTGCGTGTAATTGTTAGCTTGCTAATTATGAGTGTATATCTAACACCTAAAGCCCGGCGCACACGTGAGTTATTTAAAATGACGCATGAGTCAAATTACTCAACGAAAATTCGCCGCACACGTGAGTAAAATGACGCATGCGTCAAATTACTCAACGAAAATTCGCCGCACACGTGAGTAAAATGACGCATGCGTCAAATTACTTAACAAAAATCCGCCGCACACGTGAGTAAAATGACGCATGAGTCAAATTACTCAACGAAAATCTGCCGCACACGTGAGTAAAATGACGCATGCGTCAAATTACTCGACGAAAATCCGCCGCACACGTGAGTAAAATGACTCATGCGTCATTTTACTTGAGTAAAATAACTCACGTGTGCGCCGGGCTTCGTTCAGGATACGTTCACGTATTGTCATTGCAACTAGGATACAAGCACAACTATCGGGTTCAGAATCATGACGCGTGCAAATCATGCTTAGTCTATGAATGAGTTTACACATGGCAACTAGTGTATAAACTTAAACGTATGTCATGACACTTGTGTCACATTTATTCAGAGTATTTTTATGCAACTGATGCTTAAATATGAGTATATTCATTGGAACAGCCCCCAAGGTATAAACGTAACTGTTACCGTTATGTAGATCGGTGACTGTTGCCGAGGGATAAGCTTACACATTGCCATGGCAACTAGTGTGTTTATACACAATTTCTTTTTTCATGAACATGCACTTGTCATCTAGCCTAAGGACAAGTTTAGATGTCACCATGGCAACCAGCATATAAACATAACCGCTGCATTCACCCAGTGATCTTAGACTGATAGATGAATTGGTTGGCAACTACTGTGTTTATATGCAATTTCATTTTTCATGAACATGCACCTGTCATCTAGCCTAAGGACAAGTTTAGATGTCACCATGGCAACCAGCATATAAACATAACCACTGCATTCACCCAGTGATCTTAGACTGATAGATGAATTGGTTGGCAACTACTGTGTTTATATGCAATTTCATTTTTCATGAACATGCACCTGTCATCTAGCCTAAGGACAAGTTTAGATGTCACCATGGCAACCAGCATGTAAACATAACCGCTGCATTCACCCAGCGACCTCAGACTGACGGATGAATGAGTCATAGTTGGAGATGTGTTTGCAGCACGTCGTCACGGCGACGTGTGCGCAAACCTAACCGCTTCCTTTCTCTTCGTCGTACGCAGACATGAGACTGATGCACGGCGACGAGCTGAGGCTGCGCTACCTCGGCGAGCTGCACAAGCCGTGGTCGGGCGTCGGTCACGTGACGAAGATCCCGGACAACAAGGGCGAGGAGGTGGGGATAGAGCTGAAGAACGGGGCGGGTGCGCCCACCGAGTGCACCCACAACTTCGTCATCGACTTTGTGTGGAAGTCGACGTCCTTCGACAGGTAAACGTTCGGAGGCTTTCGCAGGAGAATATCGTGCGGTAGTTTTCGCATTTAGGAAAGCGAGGTGGCGAAGACGATAGATTAGTTCTGCTACGCGACATGTAAAACGTCAGCACGTTTGTGGCAGCTACGTGCGTAGTAGTGATGTCACGATCATCGATTATACTCGATCATCGGTTGAACAGTGGCTCGAACCAAGCGCTTAGTGATGTCACGATCATCGATTATACTCGATCATCGGTTGAACAGTGGCTCAAACCAAGTGCTTGGTTATCAAAATCCATTATCAATTTCATTAAAAAAAAATATAAAAAAATAAATAAATAAAAAAAACTTGAACAAGAAAACTTGGAAAAGTGATGAGAATCAGAGATATCATTGCTACTATACAAGTTATTCTTTATTAACATACATGTATTATACACACAGTAGTAAACAGTGCAAAACAAACAGTAAACAGGGCTAATACTTGGGTCCAACTGATGATCGATTACGAAATTACAACCGATTGACAACACTAGTGCGTAGTGTCAAGTGTCTTTGTTTGCCAAACATGTTTGAAGCTCATTCCAGTGGAAACACGGCCGAGAGTAGTGCCAACCCAGGTCTCTTGTTTAAAAAACAACAATATAAAGTGATACACACCTTGCTATTAGTTTTCCTCGGTAAAAAAACCTACTATGAAAAAGTGCATTTTGTTGTAAAATTTCAAGAGAAAATGTTGTATTTGTTCACATCTTAATTTCTACCCCTGCGAAACATTCAATAAACACAAGATTATATTTATATGTATATAATAGTATACAGAGTGTTTTAAATATATATGAACGAAACGTGATGGTGTAATGTCTCATGCGTTGCATTCCGGCGTTCGTTCATCAGGATGCAGGCGGCGATGAAGACGTTTGCGGTCGACGAAACGTCCGTGTCCGGCTACGTCTACCACAAGCTGCTGGGTCACGAGGTCGAGGACATCATCATCAAGTGCAACCTGCCTAAGCGCTTCAGCGCGCCGGGCCTGCCCGAGCTCAACCACTCGCAGGTGTACGCCGTCAAGACGGCACTGCAGCGCCCCCTGTCACTGATTCAGGTAAACTTTTTTGGTTGTTCATTTTTGAGTATGATTCGCTTTAAGATTATTTTACGTGGATTCCTCCCTGTTCTGGTGTGGGGGTAGTTGTCTGGAGTGAGCTGACATAAATTAAGCATGGGTAAAATTTACATGGCTTAAAAACTATGGCTTGCTAAGTTATCAACAGGAGCAAAAGTAATGTTAGTTATTGATTGAGTTTTTATGGGTCGGCAAACATGTAAGCGTTCGAATTGGCACTATTTCATCATTTACATATACATATCATCAGCGTTTTATGCAACTGCGTAGAATGACATAAGTTGTGCCAATAAATAATACCGAGCAGAGCAAATTATTATATAATTGCCCAGTCATAACATGAGACAGTAAGTAGTAGCGACCGCTGAAAATTATACCGCAATCGTGCTGCGCGATCGACGATCGCCCGAAACACGAACACACCCTCGACGACGCGAGAGCACGCGCGCTTACCTCCCCCGCCGTTTCCCTCTCCCGCCGCCAGGGGCCGCCGGGCACGGGCAAGACGGAGACGAGCGCGACGATCGTCTACCACCTCGCGAAGCAGAACATGGGCCAGGTGCTGTGCTGCGCGCCTAGCAACATCGCCGTCGACCAGCTCACCGAGAAGATCCACCAGACGGGCCTGAAGGTCGTGCGGCTGTGCGCGAAGAGCCGCGAGGCGATCGACTCGCCCGTCTCGTTCCTCGCGCTGCACAACCAGGTGCGCAGCATCGATGGCTTTCCCGAGCTGCAGAAGCTGCAGCAGCTGAAGGACGAGACCGGCGAGCTGTCGGCGGCCGACGAGAAGCAGTACCGCGCGCTCAAGAAGCAGTGCGAGCGCGAGCTCCTCCAGGTGAGTGTAGGGGGCGCCGCTGTGTGAGTGTAGGGGCGCTGCTGTGTGAGTGTAGGGGGCGCTGCTGTGTGAGTGTAGGGGGCGAGCTGTCGGCGGTCGACGAGAAGCAGTATCGCGCGCTGAAGGAGCAGTGCGAGCGCGAGCTCCTGCGGGTGAGTGTAGGGGGCGCCGCTATCAGTGCGAGCGCGAGCTCCTGCGGGTGAGTGTAGGGGGCGCCGCTATCAGTGCGAGCGCGAGCTCCTGCGGGTGAGTGTAGGGGGCGTCGCCGCTTCTGTGTGGATGTAGGGGGCGCCGCTATCTGAGTGTAGGTGGCAACACAACTGACAACTGACAAGAATGTATGCTAACCTTTGCCGGGGGTATCTGTGACGATGGGGTTGCTAAACGCGAACGCGCTGTGTAACTATGGTAACCGTTGCCGTCGGTAACTACGGTGACGTTGTTCATAGAAAGCGAACGCGCTGTGTAACTATGGTAACCGTTGCCGTCGGTAACTACAATGACGTTGTTCATAGAAAGCGAACGTGTTGTGTAACTATGGTAACCGTTGCTGTCAGTAACTACAATGATGTTGTTTATAGAAAGCGAACATGTGTAACTATGGCAACCGTTGCCGTCGGTAATTACAAGGACGTTCACAGAACGCGAACGTGCTGTGTAACTATGGTAACCGTTGCCGTCGGTAACTACGATGACGTTGTTCATAGAAAGCGAACG